TCTTTGGCATGACCTCAAGAGCTCTGCACGAAAACAGTCTAGGCTGCTGGTAGACCTGCATTGATACCAGTCCTGGTCTCAGATTCTAGCAGGAAGAAGCAGGTCTACTTTGTTTCATTTCTAAGTGGCAAAACAATTAAAATGCTGGCAAATGAAAAAACAAAAGGGTGAATGAGCGTAATGTGAGATGTAGGAGATTATACATAGGGTCTAGGCCCCTGACAGCTTGGAACAGGGCTTTATCCTGCCTGACTGGAGTGACTTCCATGTTCCATTTTGACCCTCACAAATGGACTGGCTTGATAGGGGAATCTGGAGTGGATTCTGGAGGGGAATCTGGAGGGGCCTTCAGAGGATTTGAAGTAACTATTCCGTCTGCCAGGGGAGAGGGTGTGGGCCCCTCCGACGTCGTCACCCTTCCCTATAGGCTCCAGAGTTTAGTGGCAGAGAGTATGCTGGTCAAATTAGAGGGCTTAACCTCTCAGAGCCTCAGTTTCATTGTCTGCGGGCAGAAGAGCATTGGTGGAATGGCAGCGTTCAGAGGATTCAAGGAGAAAAATACATTTAAAGCACTTAGCCCTGTGCCAGGCACTTAGCAAGTGCTTAAAGAATAGCTGTTGCTCCTGTAGCTATTTTCGGCTTCTGGATTCATCTAATAAAACCATCATCATTCTACGCCGAAGGGAACTGAAAGCCAAGGTGTGATCCCTTGTTCCGGGTCACACAGCTCCCAGGGGGAGGGGAGGGGCTGGGACCCAGCTCAGGTCTCCCCTCTCCGGGCTGTCTGTTTGCTGTATACCACCCGCTCTCAGACTCTCAGAGCCACTCGGCACAGCGGGGCTCTTCAGGACCTCACCACGAGGGGCCTTCCCCTTTGATCCCTTCCACTGAGTCTCCACCCCCCGCATGTGCTCAATCTCTAAGTCCTGCCCATGCGACTTCCAAAATATCCTGCAAAAATGCCTCCTGCTTTCCTGCCTCCTGGTCATTGCAGTTGCTGGTCTGTCTAGAAGATTCTCTCCTCTCTTCAGCTATGGCTGGCTCCTCTTAGTTTCAGCCCATGTCTCCTCCTCAGAGATCTTCCGTGACCATCCTAGTTGAAGCAACACCACTCCTACCTCCCTTCTCTCCTTTCTCTCCCTTTCTCTCCACTTTGTGGGCTGGATAGCACCACCCCTACCCTATGCTTTTCTTTCCTTTCTTAATTGTCTGTCTCTCTTCCTAAATGGAAACTCCAAAAGGAGAACATGTGTCCCTTGCTCACTGCTGTGGCCCCGGCACCTAGCACAATGCATGACACGCAGGCGCTTGGTAAATACATGCTGGGTGAATGAATGAATGAATGAATGAGTGAACAAATGAGCGGCAGATTCCAGAACTAGCATATTTGTTAACACCTGGATAGGACCAAGGAACAGATCTTAATTTGTTTGGAGAGAGACCTAGGTACCTGCCTGTCGCCCTTCCTGGCCTCCTAAAAGAACAGCGTGAGGCTACCCACCAGACAAGGACCCTTCCAAGCAGGCAACCCACACAAAAGCACATCTTGCAGTCAGGGGAAATGGGCGGATAGTTGCTAATTGCGACTTCCAACTGGGCTGATCTTTCGAAAGTTCGAAAGGCGCCTGCCTCCAGAAATCCCAGGCTGCTCCTGCTGCTGAAGCTGGGGAGGGAGGAGAGGAGGGGCGCGCCTGGACGCCTCGTGGGCTGGCACGAAGAAGCCACATCTCCTCCTCCCTCCTCCCCGCCCTCCCCCCCCCCCAGCTCCTCTCCAAGAGAGGAAGCAATGCAGATGGAGACGAGAAATAAATATTCCTGCCTGCTCTGTGCCACTGCAGACGTTTTCCAAAATGTCTGGCTTGGACCATGAAATCAAGCCCACCCAGGAAAGGAGGCGCTCAGCGGGAGAAAGAGGGGGAAAGGGTGGCATATTTGTCGATACTTGTCAGCTTTCCGGGGGGCACAGCACATGGCTCATACTTGGCAGTCCCGCTGAGGTGGGGACGTGGTAAGTGCACAGTAATACTTGAAGAATTGAATCAGAAATGGGAGCAGCATTAAGGAAAGCCTTGCCAGGGCGTCGGCATCATCTCTACGCCTTTGTCCAGGTCCCGGGACTCACAGCTGGTTCTTTCATCCTTGATTTCCAGGCTCTTCCCACGGCGCCTGCTGCCCCTGCTCAACTCTCTCCCCTCCACTCCACTCCACTCTGGCGTGATTCACACCACTGGGCTGCAGGAAGTCTTCAAAGGCCCATTGAAATTTGGGCAGGAGCTCAGCACCCACGTGTGGAGATAGATATTCCTACCACTTCTGAGCACAGCTCGTGTTCTCCAACGCTGGAATACCAGCAGGAGATGAGAACAGGGGCTGCAAATGATAAGTGGGTGCTTTTGGCCGTGGGACGGCCAAGTGTGCGGGAGAAGTGTCACTAAGGAAGGGAAGTTACAGGCCGACTGACAGGCACCCAAGTGTTCTGCACTTACAGGGACTTCACTAGGCATGTGTCGAGGCTGCAAAATGTCTCCGCAAAGGGAGAGATGAGAGCATGAGAATTTCAGCTTGAAAACTCCTCAGAGGATATGCTAGGTCTTTGTTTCTCACCCTCTCGTGAGATCCCCTCCCCCGGGTACCACATCCTGTACTGGTGCCGCGGACCACCTTCTGCTAGTTCTCTTGGGAAGTCGGGCATTAGGGTGGGGCCTCACGGATGGGCTGAATTCTGCTCCATAAAGAGCAGAGGGGCTTTCCCCGTTTGCACTGGTTCAAGTCCAGTGCAGCGAAAACACTTGCTCGGAATGAAGACTCAAAGAAAGTGATAGCTTTTGTGGGTGTCGGGGGAATGTTTTCCAGAATAAGCCTGCCTCTTTTCACCATTTCCATGACTTCACTGAGGAATGAAAGATTATCTAATATTTCCCACTCATGTGCCCTGAATCCTTCTTTGTGAATCTTCCCCACTCATCTGCCCATCTGCCTTCCAGCGCTAAGGTAACTGCCAGTTGAATCCCACTCTCTCCAGGAAGTTGTTCAGTGGTGGGGAACAGGGGGGGTGGGGGGGGGAAGCTGGCAGAAGACCTGGGTCCCTGTCTCCACTCTGCCCATTGCTGTGTGACCTTGGACAAATTACTTTCCCTCTCTGGGCCGTGTTTTTGTTTTGTTGTTTGTTTGTCAAAGGAGTGGCTGGATAGGTATCCTTTCAGCTGTGACACTTTATGGGTGGTTCTACAGAGTGATATTGGATAGATTTCCTGTTGTCATCATCCTCTGTCCCACCCCACCTTTACCACTAAACTCTGGGAACTGGGGCCACCACACTTCTGGGGATGAGTTCATTCCTTATACCTGGGAAGCTGAGAGCTCCAAAGCAAATTATGCTAGATATGTGGATGCATGGATACGATCTAGAATTGTTTTAAATATTTTCTGTCTACATTTCCCTTAATTCCCAGAAAATCTAATGCACGGGGATTACCAACGTAAGGCATACTTGGGAAGAACTTGTGTGCATGCAAGTTTTGCGCTGTATAATAATCATGTTTTATTAATGATCATGTTTTATCCTCTTTTCTTAAAAGTAGCCCCATTTGTTGAGACTTCGTGCTAAGACTATGCCAGGCTTTTTGCTTACATCATTATCTTCCCAACAGCTCATCACAGAAGATGTTATCCACTCCTCACTCCCATTCATCGTGGTGGTTGACCCTAATTAACACACGTAGCAAATGCTAACACCAAAATTATATAATAGTGCCCCGCCCCAAAGCCAAAAGCAAACCCAAAGCCAATCTCGGACTCCGAGAGGACGAGACAGCTACTCAAGGTCATATGGCTGGTTGATCCTGGCAACAGGACTTGAACCTGCTTCTGCCAGATCCCAAAGTTGACGATGATGTGCTACTTCCTACCCTGTGCTGGGCCTCGTCTTGGCATTCAATGCCTTTCTAGGAGATTCTTCATACATGAATGCTGTTTTAAAGACTTAGGGATAATAGGTCTTAAATTGATTGCTTTCCCTATAGCATTGTCAGAGGAATACGGCCGGCCTCTGAGCCGGCAAAAACCCTGCTATCAGAAATGGTAAGGAAAGATGCAGTCATCATTGCCAAGGAGCATGAGAAGGGTGGGAGAATGAGGCCCCCAAGCAGCCCATTTACAGTGACCATCTCCATTGCTCATTTACCTACAGAGAATGAGGCTGCCTTCTGCTCACAAGCAAACTCACTTCCATGCCCACGCACAGATCCTGGCAGAGAATTAGAGGCCCTCACAATTTGTACGGACTCAGTCATGTGCCACAGAGGTTGTAGACTCCAGTGCTCCCAAGCCCAGGCAGGTACATGAATGAGTGAAACAGCCAGGAGGAGGCTACAGGAAACTGGTAAACTAATGTCTGATCAATGTGGCTCACCGTGATGGGCTGCAGCAGACCGCTGCTATGTAAGTAAGCAGGCCCAGAGCTGCTGGCTGTCCGTTTTATAAAGAAAGCCTGGAATGTGGACGTCTCTGTGAATCCTCCTGAGTTTTAAATATAGGCAACTAATTCAATGAAGAAAGGTGTACCAGACCCAGGGAGGACCAAGTAACACATGTTTAAAAGCTCTGTCGGACTATAGGTCTCTATTTGCAACGTTTAAAATTTACAGATGGGGAAGCGGCTGCCCGGAAACATTACGTGATTTGCCCGAGATAGCTAACATGGGCGCAGGCCAGCAACTCTCTTTTGGATGTCTACATATGGAGACATATGAGTACGTGTGTGTACATGCATATACATACATACATATTGTACACTCACAAGAGAAAGAGACATGACTTTGGATTACCTGCTGTTGTGAAAGGTCCTGCTTATTGTCAGGTTATTACACATGGGTAGTCGATCTTAATTCACATACATACACAAACCAACACCAAAACGACACAATGGCACCCTTCCCCTAAACCCAAACCCAAACCCACACTAACACAAAAACCAGGCAAGGAGGAAGCGCTTTACTTACGGTAAATGACAAAAAAGAAGAAAACAAAGTCCCTTCGTCATATCTGGATAATTTTGCCAGGACTCCTTCCAAGATAGTAATGAACTAGTAAAACAGCAGAAAAAAAAAATAGATCTATATTATTTCAAACTCTAACTGTTCACACTAAGGAGCAACAGTTCCCAACCAGCCAGAGACTAGCAATGACCTCACTTGGTTTTGTGTGCTATTACTCGATTCCCGCTTTGGGGGAGAGGAAGAGATTGCTTTCACATAGAAATATTTGACTTATTCGGCTTTCTCTTCATTATTATGTGATTGCAAATATAGAGTGTTACAGAAGTACAAAGTGACAAAATATTATTGAGTTGCATACAGCATGCGATAATATTAAATGCACTTTTCAAAATCCAAAACTGCGCAAAGCAGTTTTTACGTTACATATTAGCACTACATTTAATCCAATCTATTTTTATTTGTATTTTATCAGTAATTTGGGGGAAACAGAAGTTTAGCACTGGCAAATATAAATGTCTTCCCATTCAGCATTACTTAGTTAAAATTCTATAATTCATGAGGGTGACTGAAATAGCTTTATCTGACTTTTATGTTTTATTATGACTCTCACTGCATGAGAAACGAGGGAAAAGGGGGTTTTCAGGATGGCAGAATTCCTTATTACCGTTTAACTTTTCTGTATTTAAAATCTAACTTTGTCAGCGCTGAAAAGCAAAACAAACATTTCCCACATAACCTAGGGTAATGTCAGGGGACAATTTCTTATTGAGTTAACACGCGCCACTTTATCAATTCATCTTCACACGGCTCGGCTCACGATCTTCAGAAAAAAATCATTCTGAGTTGAGCCTGGGTGATGTACGATCTTGTTTCCCGAGAAATACAAGTATCCAGCTCAACTTTTTAACGTGTCACATTTTAATGGGAATGCAGATCTAACAAAGCCATGTTCACAATGAAACATTTCACCTGAAGCTGAAGGTTACCTTTGCAACCAAGAGTGTTATCATTTCTTTAACAGCTTCTTCAATTAGTTCATCTATTTTTGAATGGTATTGATGCTAAAGAACACAGAAAGACAAATATTAGCATGTTTGGGAGGTGAAGGCATTGCATCCGTCAGTAATTTTTAGACAACACAATTTAGACAGAAAGCCTGTCCCGCAGACCCAGTTCATTTCCATAGTCCCACACGCGGCTATAAGGTTCTGACTCCAGGTCTTTGATGAAGAGAGATCTGAAGCTCTTAAAAAAAATTACCAGCCACATGGTTCCTTACCCAAGGCTTTGGATGGCTTTGATATGTGTAGATACATACACATGATTACAAGTAGCACACATGGATGGCTTCATGGCCTAGCAGTGTATTGGTCTGGAATTTACAAAACAAGATATCACAATAATTTACTACAGGGGATGAAAATTTATCTTTCGAAAACTGCTAGTGGATGTGGCTCAGAATTTGACCAAGACACTGTGACGGATTTTGCAAAAACTGTTCTAAAACCCTCTAATACTTGAGGTTAACGCCTCAGAGCCCACCGGTTCTCTCTCTAGATATTGATTCAATGTGGAGGCCAAGTGGTTTTTTTTGTTTGTTTGTTTGTTTTTTCTGAGCCCTTGTGGCAGCCACTCATTTTCTCCATTCATGGATAAGAAGACCCAGGTTTAGAGCCTCTGCTAAGACTCCTGTTAAGTTTTTCCATTTCTCTAATGGCCGCTGTCAATTAAATTTAAATAGTAATGTGAAAACAAACCCCCACACAAACAAAAATCTGCTGTAAATGCCAGGAAAAAGGGAAAAGCGATTTCAACAGAAAATACTGTATGCCAGTTCCTTGACATTTATTAGATCATTTTAGTATCCACTTGAATTATTCCATATTCCTTAATAAAAAATAACAATGCAAAGCACTGCTATTTGGAAAGGAAAATGCACTTACCCAGTCTTTAGCAAACTTTCAGAAGGATGATTAATTAGGAATAGAAAAAAAAAGGAACAGTGCAGATAAAGATTAGGACAAAAGGACACATGAGAAAATGAAAATTAAGCAACCCATTCAAAAAGCTATGAAAACATACAGAAATAATAAGCCACGGGAACGTGGTTGGATATTCTGATAACTGGCAATCAGAATTAATGAAAGTGAGTGAAGGGATATGAATTCGGTGAGTTCATTAAAAGTCACAGGGGAATTTTGTTTGTAATTGGAAGCCCTAGCTAAAGTCCCAGTGCAAAGTTGGGAAATCACGTAGCCTAAGAATATATAGTTCAGTTTCCTCATCTGTAAAAGAACAGATAATACTATTAATTGCAAGGGACCAATGTGGAGGGTAAAGGAAAACCAAGTACAAATGCTGATTTTGGAAAGAGATTGAAGCAAACCCTAGTTAAAGATATTTAGCAGGTCTGTTCTTCTTATTACTATTATTATTATATTATTATTATATTACCATATTACTACTATTATTTGAAAACCATTTCCTGGCAGTTCTGCTCTCAGACTCAAAGATCTATTTTGAAGATCAAGTGAGGGTCTAAGATGTGAGAACAACTCATAACTATAATTGCAATTCAAATACTATTTGTTCAATTTCATGAAGTAGAGGCCGGACGTAGGGAGATATGGTCTTACTGCTAATTCTTTCATTTTTGTTACCTTTCAGTTGGTTAGAGGAAAAACAATAAAGCCAAAAGGGGCCATGCTGCACAGCCCTGATGAATCAGAACCCACACTGGCGGGCTTCACGAAGGGATTCACTAGTAAGTGGCTTAAACCTGAAGCTGAATGCAAAAAAGTATCTGCAGAATTCTGTGCTAGAAACACAAAGAAAGATGTCAGAGCAAAAAAGAATTCAGGAATATTGACAGGGCTCCAAATTCATTTTTAGGTCTTGAGATAAGATTCCGTATCACATGCTTACTTTCCTCCTCACGTGATTGTTTCACTCTGCTCAGTTTTCTTTGGATGACTATAAATGATCCACATTTATTAATTCGGAGATTTAACTAACTCAGAAAGGCAAATTGTAGGCAAAATAATACAATCTAAAATATGAAACGGGGGCTTCTAACCAAGCAAAGCACATCACTGAGAACAGAAACGTTCTCTGGGAACACTTGGCTGACATGGCGAGCAGAGCCCAGAGTAGTTGGTATCTATGCACCAGGAGAGATCCAGGCTCATGGTATGAGGTGTTAGTAATGCCATCTTTTCTTGAAAAGCAAATATGCTTTCTCTTCACAGGTGGGGGAACCTCAAGTCTTTTCATCTTGGAAGGAGTCCAAACTAAAGTATATGGAGACATGGTGGGTTTTGGGGAACCGCTTCCTGCCTTCAGTTTTCCCATGACAAACTTGGCCATGACCTCCCTGCACAGAATTCCACTGTTTCTCTCTTTCACTCTATACAAACCTGGCTATCTCTACTCCTGTCTACATGTCTTTTTTTTTTTTTTTTTCTGTTATGAAAAGGTTGTTTTGATAAATAAACAAAATTTACTTTGGGAAAGATAGTACACCGGGGTCATATCTACTCTGCTTAACATGCGCTAAAGGGGTAGATATCAAAGCAGTCCCCATTTTTATACAAGTAAGTACAAAATGCACGAATTGCTTTTGCCAAATTTTCCCGAAACTTATTTGATTAACTAGCTTTTCTAGGGTGAGAGTGAGCATTGCTTTCTGCTCTTTCTGGGGAGATTATTTGTTCCATGCAGATGCGAAGCTCCCTGAAGGGGTATAAATACCACTGAGGCATCTTTTAAATACCATCCCCACACTAAGATTATCTTGTTGCAAAGTCTCTTGAAGTCAGACGGACTATCCAATTCCATCTGCATCCCAATATGGGCACAAAGAGGGATGCTTCCTAGTTTTGCATTTTCCAGTTCCCTCTCCTCACATCATTGGATTGGCTTTACCTTAGTGGTGATGATGATGATATGATGATGATGATAATACCCATAAATTATATTCTGGGGCACTAGATCATGCTACTACCAAGGGAACTACTGATATTCAATGGCATGGAAGGTTTGGAGTTCACTCTCCTTCTGAGGAGCTAAGCTGCTACAAATTCACAATCACTTTGTAAAAATCATTCCACTTGACTTCCTGTGCTGCACATTTTGCCTTGTCATGGAACAGATTGTGTGTATGTTGTCTTTCTGTTAAGACCATCTGACCTTGGAAATGAGATGAAAACACACTAGACCAAGTGAGAAACTATTTAATACACAATTTCCTTTCTACTGGTGCTTTGCAAATTTTAATGAAAAAATAAATATTTAAGATGGAAAAGTATGGTTAACAAATGCTTCAACAGCTGCTTTTAGATGAGACTTTACCCTGGCGATGAAATTAAGGAAGTGATCTTAAAATGGGAGAATACTGTATCACCACTGTATCACCTGGCCAGGCCACTAGTTGAAAACACTTTGAGGGAGTTGGAATCTGGGTGGAAGCAGGTATTATAGCTAGATCTGGAATGTGAGCTTAATATCCAAAACTCAGAGTGAAAACTACACAAAACTTCTGTCTATTCTCCCAATTCCCCGTCATCTTTGGCCAATCACATTTTTACAATTCAGTTGACTTTGAAGATGAATACCCCAATTCTGCAAAGTGAGAAAAATTAAGGAGAGACCATTTACATGAGACTTCCCATTGAAGTCTCAAGGTCACAGCCAACAAGGTCCCTCATAGGAAGTATAGATATACTGAAAATGGTATCTGGCTTCATTCTGATTATTCTCAGTCACTTGGTATTCTAAGGTCAGCAGAGCCCTCTATTCCCATGTGAGCTGGTCACTTAGGTGTCTCTGATTCAATTATACTAAGGAGAAATGGCATAGCAGGTCTCTCTAGCATGGTTTGGGATACTGAATCTGAGGATAAGAGCCAGAAACTAGAATGCAGTATTGGATGAGCCCTGAATAAAGATCATTTGGTCTGGGAGGGGGATATAGAAATGTTTACCAGCCCCTGTTATTGTTTTCATAAAAAAAGAATGTTAAATTATTTGAAAGGGACACATGAAGTGTTTTCTACTTTATCAAATAGAATAATATCCAGGAAAAAGTAGGTATTGCTGTTTAGCCTCAAAAAATGTTACTATTGGAGTGTTCCCAAGACAATGTTCTAATCTGACATTCAGAAATTAGGGAACTTTATCCTCAGTTTTGATGGGCTACATATCTCTCAAAGGCTGTGTGCTGCATGCTATATCTTTCATTTGATAAATGATGACAGTAAGGTTGTAACCGAAGGGACTTGCTCAAGGTCACAGAGTTTGACAGCTTAAGTATAGCACCCATAAGATGTACTTATTAAGCTACTGGACAACCTGTTCTTCCAGAAAACCGAGACAAAAAGGTTAAGCCAAGGTCATTTTACTGTAGCATAGAAGTGATTAGTGGTAAAGATAAGAACAGAGTCCCCTTGTGACAAAATCATCTTGCGATTTTTCATCATATATCTCCAACTGGGGTCTCCAGTTTGATCTAACAAGGTCCTCATACCCCCTGACATGCAAAATTGTGTGAAAGTATTTTTTCCCCTGGGAATTGGTTCCATAAATTTCATCACATTTTCAGTGGGGCCTGTGACAACCCCTGTCCTCTAACATATACTACTCTTCCCAAGCCCCAGTTCAGAAAGATGGAAGATAAGATCAGAGTGACTTGGCTTATTTGGAAGGATCGCTTAGCATCTGAGTAGGTACATGGGGTTCTTTAAATGTGGCCACAACTGAGTCAATCTTAAGTCTTAAGAGCTATTGAGGGGAAAGGAGGCCAGTCTAGGGCAAGAAACTTCCTCATCCTGGAATAGTGTCATCCTTGTGAAACTCAGTTGAAAAGGTCATCTCAGGAAGCATCAAGGGGGAAGAGATAAATGGGACTTCATCAAAATTAAACAAAAACAAAACTACTGTGTTTTAAAGGATACTACCAAGAATGTGAAAAAGGCAACTGGCAGAATGGGAGAAAATAGTTGCAAATCATATATATGATAATGGTATATAGTATCCAGAATATATAAAGAACTCTAACAACTGAACAATACAAAGAATTTAATTTTTTAAATGGGCAAATGATCTGAACAGATCTTCAAAGGAGATGCACAAATGGTCAATAGGCACATAAAAGTATGACCAACATCACTGCAAATCAAAACCATCGTGAGATACTGCTGCAAACACACTAGGATGGCTATAATAAGATAGATAATAAGAAGCAGTGGTTAAGTTGTAGGGAAATAGGATTTCTCATACATTGCTGATGTGAATATAAAATGGTGCAGCCTCTTTGGGAAGCAGTTTGGCAGTTCCTCAAGAAGTTAAATGTAGAGAGACCATATGACCCAGCAATTTCAATTCTAGGTAGATATCTAAGACAATTGAAAACATAGGTCCATGCAAAAACCTGTACAATGAATGTCCATGACAGCGTTACTTGTAGTGAAAAAGTAGAAACAGCTCAAACATCTATCAACTGATGAACGGGTAAATATGATGTAGTATAACCAAATAATAAAATAGTATTCAGTATAAAAAGGAACAAAGTGCTGATGCCTGCAACAACACAAATCTAGAAACTACAATGTCCTGTGAAAGAAACCAGTCACAAAAGGCTGTATGAGATTCCATTTATATGAAATGCTCAGAATAGGCAAGCCTTAGAGACAGAAAGTGGGATGGAGGTTACCCAGGGCTGGGGAGGGAGAACTGGGCAATTATTATTAATTGATCAGGTTTCTTTTTAGGGTGATAGAGGAGTCTTACAATTGATAGTTGTTCTGCTTGCATAGCTTTGTGAATATACTAAAAACTATTGATTTGTATACTGTAAAAGGCTGAAATTTATGGCATGTGAATTACATCTCAATTTTTAGAAACAGAGCTCAAGGGGAGAAAAATTCAGGAGGGACAGAAATTGGGAAAGTTTGAATTCATCTTAATGAACATGAGAAACCACCGAAAGCAGGGTTTTTCAAGTGGGATCCATGAAGCCTGAGAGAGTTCAGGTGGGCAGCGAAGAAATGCAGAGGCAGAAAGGAACCTGGTAGGTTGAGCACTAGGCCCCTCTTCCTTGACCCCCCTGCCCTCCACTTTATCCAGAGCAGCTTTAATTTTGTTTGTGTCACACACTGGCCTTCTTGGTAAGGTTTGAAGAACTGATTCTGCAGCTCAAAATAGACTGAAATAAATTAGAAGAGTGCCATCATTTTACAGATGAGGAAATCTAAAGTTCAGAGAGGCTGAGTGACTCGACCAGCTTAACCCAAGCCTTCCTCAGGAGGCTGTCCTTCATGTGTGACTCCTAATCTTAACTCCTTCTTGGATATGAGCCTCCAGACCAATGATTCCAAAATTGCAGACTCCAGACCAGCCAGCAGCATCAGCCTCAATGGGGAATTGGTTAGAAATGCAAATTCTTGGGTCACACCCCAGACCTATCGGAAACCCTTGGGGTGAGACCCAACAATCTGGATTTTAAGAAGCTCTCTCAATGAGTCAGACGCACACTGAAATTTTGAGAACCACTACATTTACCCCAAGTGCCTAGAACAGAACCCCTGAGGAAATGTCCCTCAAAAGAAAGTCAGTTGGGAGCAAATGCTAACAGGGATGGCTAAGGAGGCTGATCTGTGGGGAAAGAAGGTTGGAGACGATTTTGCCAGGAAGAGAATATCACCAACCCACGTTTAAAAATGGAAGGTGCCGAAAGAGAAAATAAATAAAGAATAAGGAGCAAATATAATTTAGTAAGAATTCTGAGCATGTAAGGCTGGTATCGAAAGATCTGATTTAGGAGCAATTTATGCCAATTGGCAACAACATGAGAGTTGCCAGAAATGTTTCTGAATTAATTCTAAATTGGTATATGAATATCTAGCTGGCTTGAGGCCATCAGAGAAAAATGATCATGATAGTCTTTAATCAAGCCCAAGTTGCTGCTTCTTTCTCCTTTACATTTTAAATACCACTTTGGAATTGGAAACTTAGCAAAGGACTAACCTTTTGGTCAGGGAAGATTCACAATCAGCTCAATCTAAGGAAATTGGAAAGTCTGCGATTTCTTAAAAATTCAGAACCTGCTGGCTAGGGATGGGGTAGCAGGGTGATATAACATTATATATCCTGGAAGTTACTTGATGCAAGGAAGTGAGCTCTCCTGCTAACCAGATGTTCCAAGTGATAAAATGCACTTCAAATGTGAAAATGACTTACACGCTGGCCAACTGATCTATTGGGAGATACCAGCTTAATAAATAAGGTCCTCCCATGTCATGTGACTTAAAGGAACTTTACGGCCACTCCAACTCCAGCCAAGAATCACTTCCAAGGGACTGGCATTCTCATTAGCACGTGCCTTCAAAATGGACTTAACAAACAGATACCAAACATTCATCTGTAGCTTAATCCGCAAATGTTAGAGGCTATTTCTGAAACTAGCAGACTAGTGTAGATAGAAGGAATTTGTGAAGTTTTCTTTTACATGATCAATGGAGGGGGAAAAATCTGTATTTTTTTTTTTTTTTTTTTTTTTTTTTTTACCTCTTGGCCCATTTCCATGCTGCAAAGTTTTGTTGATTGAGCTTTGGCATCAACCATAACATTAAACATGGTGCATATTGACTGTGGGACTCGAAAATCTGTTGATCGACTGGTTTTTTGCAGCTTAACTTCAAATGCAATCCTGGTTCTATTAAAACAAAGTAGGAAAAGACCAATTCAGCATTCATGGCGGCAGGTGGAGGAGACATTTTCTGAGAGGTCAGTGAAAAAGAAAATTGAAGGCTATAATCAGTTTCAATCGACAATGACTTCACATGTGTTCTTTTAAAAATGACTTTCCCAACTAAGGAAGGCCTATTCACGGAGACAGCCACGTAAGCCCTTCCTTTCTCGGCAGTACACAGAACACCTGTAGCTCAGCGTATTTCTGTCTATAGTTTACATGCTATGGAGAACCCTAATTGCGGGAGAATGAATGAATGAACAAAAACCCAATTATAGCATTATAGCATATGTAAGTTCTCTCACATTGGCAAGTGTCTACCTTGAATCACTTCATTAAAAAAACAAAAAACAAAAAGCAGCTTCTAATCTTCAAAATCTCATGGTGGGGGAAAAATCTTAAATGACATTTGTTGTAGTTTTTTTTTTTCTTTTGGTTTTGAAAGAGACTGAAGTAAAAAAATCCAATTATTATATGGCTTTAAAAACTGAAAAATTAAGATCGGTAATCTCGGGGAGGAAAGTTCAATTAGGAGGGAGGGTAGCAGAGGACTTTCAGTATATTTGTTTGCAATGTCTGTTATTCTGCAATATGAGTATATATTTTTTATAAGTGAAAATGGCATACGATACTTACCAATTCAATAATTGTGTAATGGTGAAAGCTTAAAGTGACATAATTCTGACATAGGTCAAATTATGATCCCCGCAATGTGCTTACTGCTCACAGGAAAAACCTAGTCTGCCACGGCCAGCTGGTAATACAGGTGTGAGATTTAATCCTTGGTATCAGCATTGTAAAGGGGACCCGTTACGCTGTAAAAGGTTTCAGAGAAGTGGGTCACATCATCACATGGCTTGAAAGAAAAGCACCTGGTTCGTAAGTGGTTTTATTAAAGCTCCTTTCGTCCAATGTGTCTTTTCAGCATTGTTCACGGTCAGGTCCGGGAGACCATGCAGCCACCAGGAAAGCATTGCTTTAAGAGGTATTTGTAGCAGTTTTCTAACAGCACATAGGAGGACCACACAGCTAGTTAGCTCGGGAAAGGAAGCCAGCTTGCTCACACACCCTGAGTGCATCAGGGAAGCCAAGTATAATTTCTAAGGTTGGAAGCCTAGTTCTTAAGAAAAAAAAAAAAAACTTAAAAAAAAAGCCTTAAAACACTCCTATAGATTATATGATCATGTTAAAGATAAATGTATCTTGGCTCTTAAAGGCTTGGTGCACTGAAGTAGCTTTCTAATCATGATGATCATTTTAAGCTACCCTGAAAATACATCCCTTCCTGGTTTTGTGAAAAGGAGGTCTGATGTGGACTGAGTTGGACACGTCCCTGTGCTGATCTGAGGCCTGCATGCTAGTTCCGGCCCAATTTGAGAAGGGGAAGTGCTAAGTTGTTCCCTTACAAGGAAGTCACTGTCGTCTGTTTCCACAGGAGAACTGTGCATGGCCCTGGGAGTGTGGGGCTGTGAAAATGGGGAAAGCCAAATGCAAAGGTAATGTGACCGAGAGGGCTCCATGGAGCAATGTGCCAGGGATAGAACGGTCACTGAATCTTTCCAATTCTCCTTGAGGGCAGGGTGAGGGTGCAGTGTTGTGGCGGAATATCTTTCACATCCATCGAATGATTGACTTAAACTTCTTAGAAACTTGGAAATGAGGAGTGCCTGATTAAAACTTTTGGGTGTCACATATATGCATCTATAAAATCACATCCCTGTGTTGACGTCCTTCTAGGACGAGGGCCAGTGAGTCCATCCCAAAGAGGAAAGAAAGCAAAAGATCTAGGCTCTACTCATGTAGATTCTATGTCCTCAAACAACCAAGGGCCTTTTTTGTGTTTTACCCTCTGCAACTGGAGGTCGGCGGTGGGGAGGGGGGGATGATTTTGGCACTTATATTTGCTTTGCTCTGGGGCTTCGATTGTAAGGGACATCCAGACATTTAAGCATCCATTGCCAGTGTGCATATGCCTTTGACAAACTTCGGTTAATGAAAGGTTACTTCAAAGCTATGTAGCAAATGTGACGCTGGGGGCCTGGGGAGGGCCAGGAGCTCAAAGAGAGCAAGATACACCCCCTGCTGTGAGTGTTCCACACTCCGTGGGGTGGCTGGCCCCCCCAGAGATGTGCAGTAAGGGTTACGATGAAGTCACTGTGTGCCTTCCACATCTGCATGTCTCCCTACCCTACTCCAAAGACGGGTTTCTCAGAAGGGCACGCATATCTTTCTGTACAGTCACGTGCACAGATCAGAAGCTAGTAACTGTTCATTCTAATGTGCCGTAGCCCTGAGTACAAATCAGGAGAGGATTTTTCATTACAGGAGAACTACCCCACAAGAAGTTTTTGGTGGAATGGTTTGGCCACAAGGAAAGAGCTGCTTTTCCTAAAACTGATAGAAACCATGTAGGAAATGGTAGAATTTGAAATTCTAAGGAAACATTTTGACCTTGGGTTTCAGCGATAGGCCTGCCTTTGGTTCTAAGAGTGGGGAGATAAGAATAAAACAGAAAATCTGGGTCGCCAGGACTTTAAGCTTCCAGAAGTACCATCAACACCTGCCTAGACTCCCCGCAGCAGGTAGCTCCTCTCCTCGTTCCTGCTGAGAGGCTCACCTGCCCGGGACTGTGTTCTTTTGCCCTTGTGGTTTCAAGTTTTGATGCTATTATTTCTCTTTTCTTCCTCCAAGATATAAAACTCAGATCACTCCCAGGCAAACCCAGCCCCCGTCACCCACAACTGATCCATCAACCGAACTACGCAACACCTGGAGGTGCGGAGTGGCCTATGCTGCCTGTGGGCTCTCTTTTTTTCTTTCTTTTTTTGTTTTGAATGGAGGAAGAATAGTGGAACAATTACGAACTGGAAAAGGAATGTGGACATGTGTCTGGGGACAGACCGGGTGATGATAATGATGTTAAACCAGAGGAATTTCATCTCTGCGTCTGATACACAGATATCGATACTCCAAGATGGATGATGGGCTGTGGTCTCTCATTCTTCAATGGTATGCCACGAACGTAGCACGGTGCCTGGCAGATAGGAGGAGCTGAACAATTTTTGTTGAATGGATGCACATTGTTCTCATTTTCTTCTCTTCACTTTCTCAGAACATTCTACCTAGGAGCTTCAAGTGCAGCATGCTCACCTCAGTCCTATACACCGCAGCAATAAAACAGGAAATTTGTAGGAAACCAAGATGCCCCTTGACTGATAGCTAGTTAGATTTGGGACAGGACAACTAAGAGTTGGCACACAGTAAGTGCTCAGTTCCTGTATACAGAACAGATGATGTTGCAGAGGTCCTGTTCATGTTTCTTAAAAGGCATTCGATTCCCACTACCTGTACCGGATATAGCAGCTCCAGAATTGCATGTACTTCTCTTTCTTCTGTCTTGTAATCCCCTCCCACATACACTTGTCACTTATACCCTTAACAAATATTTATGAAATAAATATTTTGTGTCAGATGCTGCTAGATACCAGGGATACAGAGAAGAGCAAGAACAGACATGGCTCCTTTCCTCATGGAGCTAAGTGAAAAAACTGGCTGCCATGTTGTGTTGGACTTGGGACAGATGTGGGGAGGGTGAACAGGAGCTAGACTTGCGTGGCCACCACTCCGGCTGACTTTGACAAGCAATCACCCTCTCCTCCCAAAAATCCAAATTAGGGCCCATCACAAGAGTGGCCACCTACCACCCACTGAGTCAGAGTAGAGTGGGGAAGGCATGCAGGGCCCGTCTGGCCACCTAGGCTTACCTTTTGACACAAGATTCAATCATGTCACTTGCCATCAGCTTCAGCCGCTGTTCTAGGTGCTTTCCAAACTCTTCCTCGGGCCAGTGCAAGTCCCGAATGAAGGTCTGAAGGGCATCGAGTTTCCAGAACAGATCTTCTGAAGTGCCTGATCCATTACTGGCAGGATAAAAATCAGAAAACAACAGTCACCCACTGGCCATGGGTTCTGGAAGAGCTGACACAAAGATGACTAGGAGCTAGAAGGCTTAAGGCAAACAGTGGCTTCAACATACAAAACGACGCATGTTGGCGGTAGAGGTGGGGGCAATCTCCACCGGCAGATTTTGAGTTTTACCATACATGACTTAGTCTGCTTTGTTCAGCCAATCATTCCAGACCAGTGAGAAGTCTGAGGAAAGGGGTTGCCCCACCATGACCAGGAGAATGGTGTATGGTAAAAATCAGCCTTCTTTTAATAACCACATTAACACATGTGATGATTTAGATGAAGGCCACGAACCAGAGGAAGTAAGTCTCGACAGATAATAACTACATGGCAACATGCAGTTATTAAAATTCAGGGTTTCATGCATTTCCCCAGCTCCCCTCCAGGGCGGAGGTCTCTTGGAGATTGCACAAGACTTTCAGTTTCAAAAGGACGGTGCTAACAAAGTGGTGAGCGAGGACCTGCTTTCTCTCTTGAAGAGCTGGAAGGAAACTGGGGGACTCAAATCAAGACGAGTACACCTGGATACCTTGAGTCCAAGATTCTTGTTCAGTTTGGTTGTTATTCCAATTATCATTGACCAGCCTGTTGCATAGGCAGCCCCAGGACGAGGTGAGTTGTGGGGGGTGGGAAGGGGAGATGAGTGGACAAGGGATATTTGCAAAGCTTTAGGCCCCAAGACCTGAACTCTTTTACCGTTGCACCACCTTACCCAGCCTCCCGTACAGATGGAGAAACTGGTCTTGATTCCTTTCTGTACAATGACGTCTACGAAACTTTTACCTGGGGCATCCCCTGAAAGCCTGTGTATGGGAAAACGCTCCACCTCTCACCCTCTTGCCCTTCTCTGGCTGGCTTTCTCTTTGGTAACAGTCCCATTTGGAGCTCTGAGGGGTGGCCACCCACCCCCCCCCTTCCTCGCATACCACTAATGCTAACACAGTAATTTATAAAATGTCCAACACACCATGCATTACCACTTGTTCTGACATCGTCTATAGAAACAGATGATAGTGGGTGTTTCTATTGTGACAGATGCCAGCTGCATTGAATTAATGCTTCAGAGAGAAATATAGCTAGTGCACCAACGCATACACAGCTACTGTGGGGTGGGGAGGGGACAAACCCCCAACATGCCAAGAGGGAGCCTATGGCCTGGACCAACAGGTAATGTTTCCAAGGACAGACCAGTCTGAGGTCAGTATGTAGATGTATCTGACACGAAGGAGCAGGTAACATGGAAACACGTCCTTAGAATGAAAGGTAGCAAAGGAGGAAACTGGAATTATGAAAAGATATAGAATCAGGCATTTCCTGGTGAGTGATTGCGGATCTACGCCTTCTATTCAGATACTGCCGTAAGCACTGTTTAAAAGTGGGGGAATGCGTGGTTTCTTGGTGAAAGTTCAGCCTTCCCCCGACCCCATCCTATGCTTGGGAAAAAGAAACCCCTACTTGGTCTAGTCTAAACCCCGTTTTGGAACTGCATGGTTGTATGTTTTAAATCATTAAGTACATATGAATGCAATAATTGGTATTTATTACAACAACATTTTGACACCCATCTGGTTTCAGAGTTTCAAAAAATTCTTCTGGGTTTTTTTTTCTTTGAAGAGCTTATTATTAAGTTTTGACATGAGGAAAAGAATATTTTCTTTTTATTTTTAAGATAAACTGTTAATGTTAAGGCAATAGCACCAAGATTATTTTGATCGCTGAGCAGTTACCAAAATGTGTTCCCACTCATGCCTTAATTAATTGAATGGAGACCATTATCTGCTTTATTACAATGTCTTGATTCATATCTTTTCAAAAACAAGGCCACGGAGCATGCACAAAAGAAGGTAAGAAAAGCTTTCAGATATTTATGTTTTCATTTTTAACAGATACTACCTAATCTAACTGTTGAGAGAGTCATCTTAGCATGAATATGATTTACTTTTTGTAGAAGATTTTTTTTCAGATATAAATTTTTGGAGGTCTTAGTTCATCGTTAAAAGAGAATCAGACACATCGACCATATGATTGCACTGTGAACTTGTGAGCGAACATAGGTTTTTAAAAATGTTAGGCAACTCTGAAGCAGACAAGCAGAGCAGTCACTGAATGTCCATTTCTACCTGGATTACTGCAAAAATAAAAATGTTGAGGGCCATCTTGATCGATGTGATTTCGACATTTCAAAACATCACTGCCAGTTTCAGATCATTTTTTATTCCTTTGATAATAACCCTTCCCTTTGAAAATGTGCCAATTTATTCTTTCAAGAAAAAGCTTATCTGGCCCATAATTAGCTGTGGTCTAAGAAAAGGATCAAAGGAGGGTATAGAATCACTAAACTCTATTTCACTTATTAAATCATGCACATGGTTTTAATTTCATTTCCCTGAGATAGAATTTAAGGGTGCTGGATCTTCTGCTTGCAAAGGGAAAAAAGGAGCCACTGCCCAAGCCAGAAGTGGCTGCACAACCTTGTCCCTCTGAGCTGCTGCCCTTAAAGGGGTGGCCAGGCCTCCAAAAACAAAAACAAAAGCAAAAACAAGAACAAAAACAACAACAACAAACCCCATGCATTCCTGGCATTTGTATGGATGAATGTAAAGAATGGTCCTATACTCAGACCACAGATGATGCAGCTACCAAAAAATTTAATTATTTGTCATTCGACTCTTGCATTCTCAAATTTAGAGATCTTCTTGCTACCTAGATCCCAGTGCTCCATATTCTATTATGACCTTGTAAAGTATCTTTACATAACATATACATTACTAAGGCTTGATCCATTCAGAAGTTTTCATTTAGCCCTGAACATACTGTTACTATATCCTGCCATTTGCTGACACCCGAAATATGCTTTATGGTTTAAACAGTCTCTAGGAATTTTTTATTTAAAGAAAACCCCAGCTTTTAGGTAAATGTGCTTCCCTCTTAGATTTGGATCAGGCAAGAGAGGACTGGCCAGCCCATCAGAAAGTTTTCTTGGACTAGTTTTGAATGGATAACTCCCAAAGTCATGGCACCCGAATTTCAAAAAGAAAAACAACAACAACAACAACAACAAAAAAACAAAACATGGGCAGACTCCTTTTGCAAAAGAATTCAGGAAGTTAAACGTAGTCCTCAAGCGTTCAGTGGGCGTAAGACAAATTGTTAGTGCTGTATATATAGCAAACGTCTTACAAACATGCTGTGTGCCAGAAATAAACAATATTGTCTCCGTATGATCAGCAAAATGTCTAATTATCCATCTCCATCTCTGTTATATAAGATGTATAGAAATAAACAATACATATCCATGCCAAGATCACTTAAATTTAAATTAGATCTAATGTGAACTGAATACACACTCAGCATCATATATAGCAGCCATCCATGACGGTGCCGAAAAAGTAGGCATTTGTGGGATGCCTAGAGGGATGTTAACTGGAAGATTTGGTACTTTGGGAAGGTTCACATTGGGTAGGTTCACATTGGGTAGGTTACTGGTTAAACTCCTGTGGAAGAAACAGACAGAAAGAAAAAAATACCATCACAGTGACAATGCAGATGTGGCAGAAGCACATGACAGTTGTAAATAAACTGGCTAAGTTCACAGCAAGACAACAGTGGAAATGCAGGCAACACGCTTCAGAAGACAGCTCACGGATGGGGCACTGGGGTGCAGCTCGGTATTCAGAGAGAAATGACAAAAGTTAATGGGAAAAAATTAACCACAGAGTGACTTAAAAGTGTGAAAACTCACAGACACCTATACACAATGATCACATTATATAAATGCCTCTGTGAGGGGGCTTTGGTTTCCATATCCACTGCTGTGAGAGTCCAGAACTTGTCTGATACTAGGAATGTGAAGTGCATGAAGTTCTCGGCATTGGTGGAGCAGGGGCTGCTGGGGAAGTAACTGAGAGTGATACAAATGGTGGCGTACTTTCATTTTCTTACTTTTATTCATAAATTGTTTTTAATGCAGGCACGTTTCTCAAGTCAGACATTAGATCCAAGGCATAATGGGAAATGGGCCCATTTGAATGCATGCTTCGCAACTGTTACTTCTGAAGACAGGTATATGTGAAATGGGGTGTCCTAGCTGATAGCAAAGATGAAGGAATTGTACCAAGAAGAAGGATTAGCTTTGAGTAATTGTACCAAACACTTAAAGAAACTTCCTCTCCTCAACTGAGTCCAATAAAAATGGAGAAATGTTTACACGCCCAAAAAGACACCTAGGAAAAGGATCCCAAGTTCACCTCTAATTCTAAATTCTTGGACCACAAGTGGATTTGAAATGTTGCCTCATGGGACACCTGGGTGGCTCAGTCAGTCGAGCATCTGACTCTTGGTTCGGCTAAGGTCGTGATCCCAATGTTGTAGGATCGAGCCTCACATCATGCTCCATGCTTTTCTTGGCATTCTCTCTCTGCCTCTCTCCTCCACTCCCTCTCTCTCAAATTAAAAAAAAAAAAAATGGGGCTTTGTGTTCGAGTGGTCACACTTGGAAGTGAGATAAAAACTGGAAGAAAGAGTGCCAGGGTTTGGGGGACACGGGAGATGTTCTGTTTCTTTATCTGCGTGATTGTCACAGGGGCATATTCAGTTTGTGAAAGTTATCGGAGCAGCGTGTTTCTCTGCAAACTGTTAAAATTAATAAAAAGTTTAAAAATGCGATCTTGCACCAGCTTCTTGTTTTTGAATGCAGATTGATCGATTGACATGATGAAGGAGAGATGAATGACTTTATGAAGTGAGAAAATAAAACAAAACAAAAACCCCAACTCGAGTCAACCGTATCTCTGTGGAGGAACGGTGGCATTTACTGCTCCACGAGCTGGCACCGTGTGCCTCTGTAGTGGCATTTTAAGGGTGTTCCATCCAGCCAAAGTCACTGGCACGGTAGAGCCCAGCCTAACTCTGCATCTGAGAGGAGCCCTCCTGTTTAAGTGGAGTTGACAGAACTTTGGCAGAGGAGTTAAGGGTTTCTTTTTGGATCTTGCAGAAGAACAAGTTTTGCCAAAGCAGCTCTGCCCCGGGCAAGCTGTGTTTGACTAACAGAACCCTTGTAAGGGCCGGGGCCTCTGGGCTTGCTTAGCAGGGCCGAAATCCTGGGCCCTACACAGAGTCTAGACACCTGCCTCCCTCTAGAAACAAGTTACTCTTTCACAATGGCAATCCGGATGGAAAAATCGAGAATGCAAAATTGCCAACCCTGCCTTCTCCTTAAGGGAAACAGGTGTTGCACGGGTTTGTCCTTTATATTTCCCGTTGTGGGAAAGCGAACTCGCTGCTTTACTTGGAAGGAAAGGGTGTGCTTCTAGGAACGGATCAAGGGAAGATTAGCTAAATATGACTATTAAGTAGAAGGAACAATGGAACTTTTTCTTTGGTGCTTCTCTGTTTAACAGGAGAATCTGCCTCTGAAGTCAGTCCCTGGTGGCTCTCAGACTTAAACACTGCCATGTAACAAAACCGTTGGCGATTTCCATGAAGACATGTGTAAGCCTAGATAAGCAAATGTGATCATTAGATGACACACACACTGAATAATGATCGAGGAATTAGGAGATCTTTAGAGATAAGCCCGGCAAGTTAAAATGTCAATTCTAAGCAAATTAAAAGTAGCCAGGAATGAATAACATACAGATGTATGCAAAAGCAACTTAATTTAAACATATTAGCGGATGGTGGGTACACAAATTAGAAATGAGTTTTGTTTTGCATATGCAAATCTGAAAAATACTTATATTAAAGCATACTGTATTAGTAAAATATGACATTTTGGCTGGACTACTGCACCGGACTCATGTAGAACCATTTCCTTCATGTGACAGACTATAATGCTCTACTTTTAAAAGACAGAAACATGCTTGGCATTTCTGCATTTAGCAAAATAATATAGTGTACTATTAATGTTACTAATACTTCATTTGGATATTGATAGCTTATATTAATAGTCAAAGAGGCAATTCCAAGCATAATATACATGAGAAAAGGGAGAATTTTCTAGTAGCCCTCAGGTCAGATCAGGCTTCAGGAGCTGCTGATGGAGGTAACAAATTGCCCTTTAGTAACTCCCTAAAAACAAGTCTATCACAGGCCTCATCATGAGAATAGTAATGGGACACATCTGGATAGATAGTATAAGAAGTGTGAATTGTAGTCACAACAATTAATACATATCAAAAATGAGACTCATTCTGGAGCACCTGTCTGGCTCAGTGGGAGGAGTGTGCGACTTTTGATCTCAGGGTCATGGGTTGGAGCCCTGTGTTGGGTGTATTTACTAAAATAAATAAATAAATAAATAAATAAATAAATAAATAAATCTGAAAAAATCAGACTCATTTATTTTGGGGACTCTGCTAAGGAAAAAAAAAAGGCAGCTCCTATTCAGGTCAAAGGGCCTGTCCCTGGATCACTGGATTCAAAATTCTCATTGGCTCTCTCTCTCATATGGATAAACGTCACAAATGTGCATGCCTCATTTCTAGGGATGAATAACCAGAGGTAGAGACATCTCTTACTTCCGGAATAAATTCTAATAAAGACTGGGTCTCCATGCAGAGAGGATATGGTTGGGTTTTCTCTCGAAGGCTTCTGGATGGGGTTAGAATGCCTTCCACTTTGTGAGCCACTTGTTGCATCAACGTACACAGTACATCTTGTCTTCTTTTGGTGCTCTGTACACTAAAGCCTTTCTCCATAATTATCCTTAGGTCTAATCCCGGCCTTGGCATGTGGGCACTCTTTGATACCTTCCTATAGTTTAGAATGATGTTTCCCAACCTTTTATTCATTATCACCACCAGGCACCCAACTGCCTTCCCCGTGAAATTTTCATACCACCAATGTACTGTATATCTGTTTATGTACTGTATGTAGACCTGTGCTTTATACATATACATAACAAGAGTAAAATTTTGTTGTCCCTCTTTTCTGCCAAGAACCAATTTTTACCAGCCTGGGAGCTGTGAAGTCCCTGTTTGAAAAGTATGACCTAGAGAACAAAGTTCTAAACTTCATGGGATTCTAGAACCTCCCAATCAACTTTCCAGCCTTATGGCTTGCTTGCTTCCTTCCTGATCCATGGCCAAAACCAAACATTCACTGTTTCTAATGCATACCCTACTTCCCCCATACTGCTGCATTTGCTCATGTTCTTTCTCAGCACCTTTCCCTTCTGGAAATCTTACTCTCCAAGCTATTCCCTTCGTGACTCCTCAGTTGAGATTCATTCCTTCTACTCCATGCTCTCATCACTGTTTGTTATGTTATTTGTACATTGGTAAATATTTAAAGTCATTTTTCTTGTGCGTGTGTTGCTCAGACCCAGCTAGATTGAGATCCCAGACCAGAGGATTATATATTTTTCTCTTTCTCATCCCTACAGTTTTTCTATTGTATCCTTATAATTTCCAGGCTGTATAGTTCCTTAATAAATGTTAGTCAGTAACTATTTATTGAGCACCTATTGTGTTTCAGGCTCTGTTCTAGGTGCTCAGGAGGTACTGGTGATCAAATGTGGATATGGGGTGAATATGGAAAATCATACTTTCCAGAATGCTGGTGTTGAAAAAGTCTTGGGTATTCAAAGTCGTTGTTTTACAAAGGAGGATACTGAGGCTCAGGAAAGTCATCTAACTTGCTCAAGGTCACCCAGCAAGTTAATGGCAGAGTCAGGAGTTCAGACTCCTCTTAGTCCAGTACTTATCTATTTCATACCAAGTCATCTACATGTCACTAAGGTGTCTTTGGTCTGGTAGTCTATTAAGATATTGGTATCTTTGATAATCTGGAAAATGAGGTTATTTAAAAAATACTTTTCACATGTACATCTCGGGCAGAGAGAGGTAAAGTGCATTTTGAGAAATGAGAAACCCAGATTTTTCAGGGTGCATATGTCAAGAATAGCGTCTAGTGCAGCCATTCAGAGTCCTTTTAACCTGAAATGGGTAACCATGAAGCATGGATTCCCTGTGCCTGGAGGTGTTTAAGTGGAGAGTGAGAGATGATTCATCAAGGAAAGGGTGGTGTGGAGCGGGTACTTGGTAGTAGTCCTGGGGAGCTTTGGATTACAAGCTTTCTAAATTTGCTTCACATTGTGAAGGCCACAATGACTCAACAAACAAGGTACAAATGTTGTCCAATGTTGGTTAGAACCAAAAGCTCATATTCAGGGTTGCAGGGAGAGTTGGGAACAATCTGTCCAGAAATGGCCCTATGACCTTGCCTAATGGACACCCATGAGAGAGCTATGGGCTCTGGCTTGATCCTGTTCTTGACAGGCTGATGGCTTTCAGCTGTGGTTAGAAGCTGGACAATGACATTTTCCACAAATGCATTGAGATTCTGATCATGACGGTATCTGGCTTCAGGGGCAGAGAGATGCAGCTACCCCTTCTCCCTTGCAGAGATGGAAGGCCATCTTCTAGAGAGAAGCAGCAATAAGACTTGGCCATGTTACTCTTTGTATCAAGTAGCTTCAGTTATATCAAGCTCAAAGGATTAATCTCTGTTTCATATTGCAGGTCCCTATTTTGAAGTAAGAAAATCTGAAGAATAAAGAATACCTTTGTTCTGTTTTTAGCAAACCCAGTATATCAGCAGCATTTTTTTCCAGAGTGCCCTTTTTCTTTAATATCTTAAATGCTAGTTTTTCTTAAAGTAAGTTTTATAATGTATTTCTCAGTCACTTTACCTATAATCAGATGCCTGTAATCACAACTTGTGAAAAGGGAAGAGCAGAGCTCTCTGAGTAGAACAATTATTTGAGGGAAAGGCTGTGTGTGTGTGTGTATTGTATATGTATGTGTGTGTGTGTGTGTGTGTGTGTGTGTGTGTGTGTGTGACTGTACTGGAGGAACACACGGTAAGATTAGAGAAGGCTGAACAAACTAAATCTATTTACCTAAGTCAGTTTCTTGTTTCTGCGTAAGCATAATTAAAAAAAAAAAAAAACATTCCAAAAAGATCATTCTTTGCTTGGGAAAAAAATACAAAAAAGAAAATGAATCTCTGCTTCCTCACTAGTGGTCAGATAAGAGTTGTGTTTTCTCTTCATGTGATAGGAATTATAGAGAGACTTGTTGTTAGCATATAAAAGCATGTCCCAAGTTCCTTTTACCCTTCATTTTGTGCTGGCCATTTTGCAAATCTGTCAGAGCATCCACATTCTGTTTACAAATCAGCAAATAAAATGTGTGTGGTTTCAAAGAATTGCAATTTCATGTATGTTTTCATTGGCACTTTCAAATATCTCCATGTACTCCAAAAGGCATGTACTATATACCATGAACTGAACAGACCACAATCACAGTCACTAACCAATAGCAGTTTGGGACAGCGAAAAGCTACTTGAGAAAAAAAAAAAAAACCCACATCTACATAAAACATTCCCAGGCTATTATTCACAACTATTAATCCTTCCCTAATGATCAGATCTTGAAATTACTGATCCAAGAGTTCCAATTTTATTCTTTTAATCATTAAAAAGAAATGAAAAGAAATCCCCAACAAAAACCTCCCTAAATCTTCCATTTGTGAAAATAATTTTGATTCTACCTTTATTTCGAATGGTATCGAGAATATTTAATGCTTCAAGAGGAATAGCAGATATATGCTCGAAGAATTTAACAGATTATAAAATGACATTCTCCCAGAGCTTCAGGACAATATTTAGACACCAAGCAGGGACATTTTAAAAAGTCAGTTTTATAGAGGAGAAAAGAGTTCATCGAGTTTCAAAGCCTTGCCTTCCGGCTGGTAAGTAGAGATCAAGGCCCTTAACTCTAGGGCTCTTTAAGCAATAGTGACAGAAGCCAATCATTTCTTCTCTGTTTGGTAGTAACAGCATCCATGTTTAATTCCAAGTAAGTAAAATCTATTTCAAGATCATTAGTATTTTGAAAATGTGAATATTACTCATTTGAACCTTTTCATCTCCTCGACTGTTCTCCACAGCACAACTGTCCTGATATAATGAGCATTTACAAAAAAAATACAGTCCCTCGTTCATGCTTTATCATTAAGGGACCTAATTTCATTCTCATGAGTTAAAAGTCAGCAGGGCCATATGAAGAGAAGGTTATAAACCTGAGAATAACAAGCCAAAATTTAGATTTCTTGGTACCTGCAAATGAAGAGCAACTGCCTATTAACCTGCTCTCAGTAGGGCAAGTCAAGAAACTTCTGTGGCTTAGATGTACCGGAGGGGGGGGGGCGGTGGGGGAGAGTGGCTGAGAAAGCTATTTTGCACTCATTTCTTTACCAGTTAGAGTCATGCAGTGTAATAATGCAGTGTAATAATAGAGGAAGAATCTTAATCCAGAAAACTGCATATGGACAGGGCACGAGTCAAATCCTCCCACTTGAGGGAAAATGCATTATTAGATGTTTGTTCTGGAGTACATCAAAGTGTGCTGTACATACTCCCATATTGCTCCATACTGGTTGCTATTTTCCAAAGATGTAAAGGACTAAAAAGAACAAAATGCTTTTCTTACAGAAAGAAAAGAAAAAGAATCTGACAGGGCAAAGCTAATACCAGGCTCTATTGGAGCTTTGCAAACCATGTCAGAAAATTCCTTACACCTAGGAGCCCTCTACTTCTCTAGGAAGGGGAATCTGAGACTGACCATCCGGCATTCTTAAGTCACAGCCGGGAACAGAGGTGACACTGAATCTGCCAGACATTTTCCAAGGGGATCTAAGATTTGCTAAGCAATTGTGGAAATTGCCAAATTTACACCCTGTAGGATTTCCTGTCGTTGGTCCTATAGGAGAGATGCCCCGTTGAAAAAATAAGAGGTTGAATACGTTTAGCAGGCTCAGGTGAAAACAGTTAAATAGGAGTCAGTAGTACCATGTTCTCAGGGTTTTCAAATATGCTGGTGTGCTTTGTGGTTCTCCAGGAGACGCAGGTGTAGGGTGGATGAGTGGGGTATACAGGTTTCCTAAACATATTTGGCCACAGAGAATTCTTCTCTCCAAGTGTGTCTCAAAGGCCCAGACCAGGAAATGGTAAACCAAAGCCCACAGGACAGTTTCCTGTTTTTGAAAATCAAGTTTTATAGGAACACAGCCACACTTGTTCATTTGCCTTTTGTCTGTTTCTGGCTTCTCATGACAATGGTAGAGCTGAGTAGTCGTGACAGAGATTGTGCAGCTTGAGAAGCCTAAATCTTCACTCTCTGGCCTTCTATAGAAAGAGTTTGTGGACCCCTTGCCTAGACTCCTATGGGACACACTGTGGGAAACATTAATTCCTAGGGGGTACCACCACTGGAGTCAGATACATAGCGCAAACATCACAGCCAGGTTTATATCCCCTTATTTCATATTTATCCTGTGCAATAAAACAAAGATTTCACTTCATAAAACATTTCTCAATCTCTTCCTCCCTCCCCGACGTGTATGGTTAGAAACAAGTACAGTGTCTGCACACTGTCCATGCTAACAATAAAAACTGTAAGACACCATTAATCCATTTCTGTATGACTGTCCAGCCATTTGAACCCAAACTCCGATGGTATCAAAAGAGGCTTCCTTACTTGACTGGTTCCCATGACTCCCGCTCAAAGCCCCTGTGAATGGATTGTGCAATTGAGGACTCCATCAAATCCACATATCTAACCACAAGTGGGGCAAACAGGTCTTGCAGGTGTTTGTGAAATTTTCCATTGCACAAATTATCTAAAACAGATAAGCAAAAGCTTGGTAAGAACCCACAGTCGCTTTATCAACATACAATGTACATACAGAAGGGATTATCTTCTCTATTAAATATACTATTTCTAGGGGAGGCAAAAAAAAAAAAAAGCGTAGTGGGGGGGATGGATAAAAGTACATGAATAGCACTGAAGCTCATACTTAAATCTGTGTGGAAGGAAAACAGAATTCAAAAACATTTTACCCATTTATTTTGTTCTCCTCAAAAGGAAAAACAATCACGCTCCTCGAAAAAACAGTCAAAACAATAATTGACAACTGTTTTTCAGGTTTTCCTTGCGCCCACTCCCCTTCCTCCCGTGACATTCCCAGAAAGAAAGAGTGTTCTGTACCCCTCCCCTCCTTCATCACTTCTTGGAAGGAAGGTTTATTTTGTGGCTATGTGTTGCTGTAAGATACCGAAACGCTTGGGGTGTTATTTAACTGGAAGTTGTTTTTCATCTAGAAAACATCTTTCAATAAAAATTGCAAAATGTGAAGAGGTTAAGTTAATTAGCTTGTTCCAAAGCAAATAAAACACATGGGCACATGTCCCGCTTATCCCACAGCGCTTGGGTTCTTCTGCTTAGTGAAGAGAGGGCTTCCCTGCAAAGGACATTTGTTGGAAGAACGAGAATGGCCATGAGCTGTAAGCTGGTGGGTTTTCTTTAAGTAATAAGAAAACTATGAAGAGGTTTCACTAGCCTGTAGTCTGCCTGGGTTGGAAGAGACATTTCATTCTCTATTTATGTATTTATCTACTATGGACCTACTTATCTGCACGCTACTTAGGAAAGCCAACCAGTCAAAGACGATACATACAATCAGTACGGAGAAAATCATTCAGCAGTTGAAACAGTGGAAAACTGTCCCATGTGTCTGGGGGCTGCACCTCTAACGCTGCATCCATGTCCACTGCAAAGAGTGACAGGAACGTCTCGGCATGCTCCACCATCAAGTCTGACCACCACGCAAAGGCCTTTGAAATTTGGCAGAAAAACAACAGACAAAGAGGCAATGAGCTTCTCTCTCCCACTGAAGACGTGAAGTCAAGCCCTCACTGGTCAAGATTAATGATGCATCAGCAGGATTTGGTGACTTTATTGTAAAAAGAACAGCGTTTTCCATACAGTTGGGCTTTTGCGTGTCCCAAGGCAATGCTTTTCGTAATTCCAGGCCTGCCTTCAAGAGTATTCTGATCTGCTGGTCAGAGGATGTAGCCGTAGGAATGGCAGACGTGGAATTTCTGTTCTATTTACAATAATCCAGTACATTTTGAGTCATGCTCCTTGTCACTGCTGTTGGCTAGCTCTTGCTCTAGGGTATTAGAATTTGGGAGTTTCTTCACTGTGTTTGTGGGTTTTCTGCTGGTCTAACTTGAAAATTTACAATTATTATTCACTTATATGTATACATCTGGGCTTCATTGTCCGTGGTCTCATATAAGCTCAGCAACTCATATTTCTCTACACATAGGCAAGGCTACTCCTATTTCATACCAAGGCAAAGGAAACCATTGTTGCAGCTGTCACCAAACTTTTGAGTCAAAATCTGGTTAAGCAGGGAGCCTCTGGTTTTGCATCCTGTCTGTAGGAAAGATCAGGCTGACGCTGGGAAACACTCGGTAAGATCAGGACTTACTTTCTGGGGTTGGACACATATGTACATTGAAAACCAAAAAATATCAGTGAAGTAACTCATTTTCATGCACGTGGGTCTTTGGAAATCATTGTGCAGGGTCTCAGGGGCAACATTCGCATCGGACTAGGCCAGATGTGAATGCTATTCAAAGGCATGCATGCATGTTGACTAATCATTTCTGGCAGGGAGCATGCAGAATGGAGTGGCGGTGTCAACAGCCTCCCCCCCCCCACTTTTTTTCCCGATTTCAAAGAGAGAAGAGAAACAAAAACAAATTGCCAGCCCGTCTTGTTCCCCCCCACCCCCACCCCCCAATGCCGTAAAGTATTTACATTGGAAACACTTTCCGGAGCATTCACCAAAAAAAAAAAAAAAAAAAAAAAAAAAAAAAAAAAAGATGGGAAGGCGTTTGGAAACATGAAAGATGATTATGGAAATAATTCCATAAATGAAAAGAGTTTGTTCAATGGCCAAGCTCTTCTGTGATCAAATAGTTATTTGGGGGATATTCTAACAGCCACTAGGAGGCAGAATAGGGGTCCACCTCTCTTCTTTCATGAGATTTCATTTTACTTACTTCTCCTTTATCAACATGTGGCTGGTTTGCAAATTAAATGGAAAAAATCAAGTCATGGACCGTTCTGCAAGGTCAGCTTGGCTGGAAATAGACACCTGCTGTTTCCATTTTAATTGACAGTAAAACCTCACTGACTCAGAGTAAGGAGAGAAGAGAGATGTTCATTTGTCCGTAAAAAAGCCTAAATTATGGGGTTTTCTAAAAAAGAGATATCATTTCACTGCTTTCAATTGCAGTCTGTAATTGGGTGCTGAAGTAAAAGGCGTTTGTTGGTTGCCATTCTCATAAATGTAAAAGTTTTTTACACTTCCAATAACCATAGACACATTGACGCCTAAAGTGAAGTCAAAGAGATAGACCCTTTAATGTCAGAGGTCCTGGGATAAAACTTGTGAGAAGAGCCTTTAGAATTTTCAGAGAAAGCTGGGATCGTGGCAAACATTCTACTTCAGAAAAATGAAAAGAGTCACATCTGTAGTTGAACTGCCACAAGCATTTGTGTCTGAATCGATGAGGTTTTATTGTAGTTTTCCTGCCTGGGCATGAGAGCCCTGGGGTGTGGGGCTGGCTCCACACTGACTACCTGGCTAACTCCAGCGGAGGAAGAAGTCCTCCGCCCCACTCCCGGAGCTCTCCCAGCCACCTGTGTTTTAGGCAGAGACCTTCTAAATATTGGAACTTGCTGAAGTCCCACTCCCCCCACCCCAACCCTAGATGGTGAGATGACTCTCATGAATCCTGATGCAGGGTATTTGCAAACTTCACAAAGACACACCAAATGTTGGCTGGTACTTCTTCATTAGTTATTTTATGAACTTTAGAGCTTCAGGGTGAGTCCAAGTAAACAGTTACTGGGAAGACGGAGTTGCCTACCCAGATATGATTTTTCTCTAGGATGACAGGAGGGGGAAAAAAAGGAAAAGAACAAAAAAAACCAATCCTAAATGTCTGAAATTACAAATTTCTTAGCCCAACCTCATGCCTGGTTCTTACCAGATTTATTTAAATGTTGCAAACCAGAGGCCCAAATAAGCACCCACTTCTACTATCTACAGAGAGTCTAGTCCCTCATTGGAATTTAATAATATTGAGCAATTATCTATCGTTGTTACATGAATAGGTATGTAGATAGTCACCCCACAAAGAACAATGACTACTATGACATGAATTATCACTCTTGAAGTCTGGCAGACAAACTTTGGATTCTAGAGTGAAGATCATTTAAATATAAGAGTTGTAGGAGAAATGAGGACCAAATCTGTGTCTGTCCACCAAGGTAATTCTTCCAGAACCCCTTCAGAAGGTTCTGGAGAAAAGATTCTGGCAAGGGCAGTCACAACCAAAAAGGCATGATCATAATTCCAATCAAATGAACAGAATCTGTGTGACTGGGTTGGGTAAGCCAAGCTTGAAAACTAAAACACACACACACACACACACACAAAACCTACCAACTATACGTATCTTATGCTTGCTCATACAGGTGAATGCTATTTGGTACATGATTGAACTCAAAGTCTGTGGACATCCGAAATCTTTGGAGATCTTTTTTTCAAAGATAATGAGGAGTTGTACTTTGGCTTCTAAATACTTACCCAGCGCATTTCACTATTTAAAGGCAAAGACGTATGCTTTGGATATACAGTCCACCACACTGAACACACTGTATATTTTGTTCACAAACTACATGTATATATGTACCCCTTTGTGTGCCACAATACATATATACATATACATACGTATACATAGAGAGAGATCAGAAAGGGGAAGCAATGATACATGTGAGCATTATTTGTGTGTGTGTGTGCCGGTGTATGGAAATAACTTCAGCTCTCAGAGCAGAATTAAGCTGAAATTAAGAAACAAATGTGACGACTACCACCATATCGTGCATGTGTGTGTGTGTGATGTATTTCCAGCTGATGAGAATGTTTTCCCTCAGGGTATTTCATTACTGTGTACTGGAATTAAAAATGATTCTAGGGATTGTTGTTTTTTGGTGACAGAGGCAAGTCCTACTTGTCACATTCATTTGTGTGGTGCCACCAAATGCCACAGCTGCACGGCCAAGATCCATGCTGAGGGTTTAGTGATTTTCTCGAGTTTATCTGAGCAATCAGAGAAGATGCAGGGTGTACTGGGCAGCAGGGAAAAAAAATCTTCATACTTCATGCTTGTCGGCAGCAAAACCTTGTCTCAAACATAGAGCAAATTCTACTTCCCTAGCTGTAGTCCAGGGAGCTCTCGACCCAGCTCTACCTTGAATTCAGTGGGGCAGTTTTAAAAATTACTAACGCTCATCTCCTCCCCATGAGATTCTGACTCATTAAGCTGGGGTGAGATCTTGGCATCAGCAAGTTTTAAGGGCCTTCCAGGTGATTGCTATCTGTAAGTGAATGCTCAGAACAAATGGTGGTGTCTTTCTGGACACTTCTACCTTGAAAAGAACCCCTTCTTTTCACATATTCTGTCTGTACCATTCACTTGGTACTTTCTACATAGGGTTTGTTCTTTCTCCTGATCACATATTCATATATTTTGCTTCCTTAGCCATTTGTCCCTAATAATACAACAGCCAAGCTTTGTCGATGACTTACTCCATGCCTGGCATAACACCAGATGCCGTATTTAATGTGGACTTCCATCCATCCCCAAATGCTCATCTGAGATAAATTCTATTATTATCTCTCCTTTGCAGGATAAGAGATATTAAGTAACCAGGTCGCGATCAAAAAGCAAGGAGCAGGTAAAGCTGGAATTCAAACTCAAGCATCTGTGACACAGAATCGGAGTTCCTAGCCACTCTGCACTGTATTGTTTGAAGGTCAAGACTACCTAATGTCTCCTTGTTCTTCCAGAAAGCACTGCGGTAGGTTGCCTCAGTGCTCAGCAGATAGGCAACCTTTGATCCATTAATGACATTCCGTGACTGGGTGAAATTACTAATTCGGGAAATGGTCCTGTACATTTCTCTAGAACTGAATCAGGTCTCCCAATTCCAAAGCATGCTGAAGTTTTCAGTCTACCTTCTAACGTTAGTAAATGAAAAGAGAAGTGGATTTACTTCTACCCTATTTATTTACACCAAATGGCTTTTCAATGCGTTAGATTAAAATATTTTTATGATGATGGTTATTAGGGCAGTTTAAGATGATGATTAGCACTTACTGAAAAAACAGTGTTTTTTTTGGACAAGTAAAACTAAAAAAAAGTCTTCTTTGTAGTATCAGCTTCGCTTTGGTACCTCTTTTGAGTAATTTGGGAAAATATCCATCATTCCATCATGCCTCAGAGAATAACATGATTACAAATCAAGCATGTCTGTCAGTTTTCTTCTTCTTTTACCTAAAAGCACAGCAGGCCAGCTGTGACTGAGGAAAGCCGTCCCCTTTGTACCCAGGTCTTTAGAAAAGTGTAGATTTGGTTTGGCAGCATGGGGAAACCCTCAGCATCCAAATCAGGGGAGGGCAGGTCAGAACCCCCATGGGGCTCTGGAGATGATTTGGTGGACACCCAGAAAGAACATACCTACCGTCCCTTAATCCCCCAAAAGGCCCCCAATATGAAAAAGATGTCCTCCAGGATGGAGTCGAAAAAAAAATTCTAGCGCAACTTAATTTCATATGTCAGGAGGTAGGTCCTAGTTTCCATGTTTGGAGGGAGTTGATTTGGCCCCTCTTCTCATTCCTGGCTGTGCACCGCTTATATGAGTCAGTTACACTCACCCCAAGGGGTCTCCACCCCATTCTTAGGAGGTTTTCGGGGAAATCATGATTCTTTGGCACTCTCTCTATATATAAATACTGTATATATGATTCACATACAGACAGTTGTAGAGGAAGATTAGTATTGCTCTGGCTAGCTACTGGTTACTACGTTGGGTGATCATCTGCTGTGATAAAGGTTAAGTACAGACGAACGTAGGAAACTACAACAGGCTAAGGACAGGATCCAGGCAGGTAGGAGGCGCGTGTCGGGATGTAACTGCATTTGTTGTTAAGTAGATCACTCGCTTCATGCACGCACAAGAGAATCCCCACATTTACCCTGCCGTGGAGGGCCATTTCACAAGCAGTCCCCTGGAAGTTGCTGTTACATTCCTCGGGTCAGTGTTAGAAAGCAGGAGCACCCAGGAAAAGTCCCAGTAGGAGACATGGTACTGAAAGGGCATGCACAAACTATGAGAGCAGGTGGCTGGCTCATTCGGCTTAGTCACATACCTCTTTTCCCTGTCACGATCAGCCATGATTGAGTGGAACAGTAGAAAAACAGGGAGGAAATTTAAATACGCAATCAGGCATTAGTCGGGACGATTGGATTTATGGTGTATTATATACTATTTAACTATACTGTCAATTTTCATGTATCATGGGAATGATCATTTTAAGTGCTTGAGAAATTGCTTTTATGGAATGCCTTGGTTCCCCTTTTGCTGTAGAACTGAATGGAGAGGAAGAGTGAAAATTAGTGCAATTTTCAAAAAGCTTATTTTAAGAGCAATTTTAAATCTCGGCTTTGAAACAAGAAGTGATAAAATAGTCTGACCATAGTGGAATCTTGGAATTTTTTTTGGAAGGGTTGGGCTGTTTAAGTCCTTTGAGCTTTGGGATTTAGTTAGCCTTGAATTATAAACCCTTAGTTTATAATTGTTATCAAAATGATCATTTTGACAGTGGTTCGTAAAAGGAAAAAAAGTAGGCTATACGTATTTAGATGTATGTTGGTGAATCGACAAGTTGAACAACACAGAATAATTTGCTTCCGTCACTGCGTTTAGGAACTTAGGTCATCCGAGATTTACAAGTGAGGGCTCTAGTGCGAGCAGAGTAAGTTACAGGGATAAATTTAAAAACATGGCCTGCGATCCACACAGCAAATAAAATAAGTAAAAACAACAGTGGTGGTGACAGCAACAACTACAAAAGACCAAAAAGTATCATGGGTGTTCTGGATGATAACCATATGCTGCTAGAATACATTATCTTTAAAATACACTCACCTCTTTTGCTCGTTGCTAGAAACATCTGAAAACTTAAAGCTGAAATATACAACATGCAGACACTTTTTGTTTGTCTTAAAATGACCTTCCAAGGGCTTCTCCTCGCAAAACTTCCACTTTCCTTCTCTTTACAAGGCCAGTTAACAGAACATGGGTGTTAAGGCATCTCGTTCGTTCGCACTGCTGGTAGGATGGGTTCTGCGCTTTCCCGCTAAGGGACGCCCAGAGAAACATCTTCCCACCACGCCCGCTCACCTCCGCGTGGTGCTCCTCATTCTGTTGGAGAACCTCAATGACTAGTTCAGCAAGACGGATTGTGTCTTCGAGCTTTTTGGCAGGAGTGATTAACCGGCCTACATTTTCTGTAGTACAAGAATTTGTGTTAAAATTCAGCGAGAGCTTCGGGCTAGTTTTGTGGCCATTAGAACTAGTGGATAAGACATTTCAAATAGTCACCAATTATTTTTTTAAAGTTTCATGCAAATGTTCAGTGCCACATAATTAGTAGTGAGCAGATCATAAAGCCATTTTGTTATTATCACCATCCTCATGATAATACATGTTAAGAAAAAGCAGTGCTCCAGCTGCAAATTTTCATAGTAAGCTATATTAAGTTTATGACAGCCCATTTCAAATTTAGTGACAGTTTGTACACACGTTCTTTAAAGACAGCATAAATGTACTATCTCATCCCTCTCTAGACTGTGTTCGTGCTACCTGAGGCAGGAATCTGACCCCTGAGTGCTGTGACCTTTGTTTCCTGGATTTGTCCCTGAACATTTGATACTTGAGCTTTGTTTTTCATTACAGGTCCACACGTCTAATAGGTATTGGAATGTTCATTTTGAACAAACAGAATCAAAGGTCTGGCTATTTGAAGTCGTCCAGGGAGGAAACTGCAAGCTCACGGACATTCCTGGGCTATTAGGTAAAAGGCAGGATAGACTCATTAAAAGGGCATTGGGGGTAGAGGACTGGATGAAGGGGTGGTAGTTTGTGCCCCTGGTTGGTAGGGCTGAAATTTTAGCAGGTGGGTGGCAACAATGTACTCAAAAACGGTTCTTTCTTGTTTCGTTTTCATTGTGTTGAAAGCACTGTGTTTTGATCTCACTCAAGAACAAATTGAACCTTGGTTGACAGGTGAGTCTTTTGTAGAGCTGGGTCATGAATGTTTGGCGAAGTCATTATGTTACCAAAAATGAGAAACTTTTTGTCCTGGGGGAAATATTTTTCTTTAAAATATAAAGATATTCCTAGCCAGTGAAATTGCTTGAATTTAACCAGTCTGGACTCACAGAGGATCCTCTATTTCATGTTTAAACTTTCTGGAGCCTAAGAATTCTTTGGAGCACACGGGTTCTAATGGCAGTAGGATCCATTAGTGTGAGTCCATAGCCAAGTGTATATGTGCACAAAATGACTGCCAGAACTTATTTTTATCCCTTTGTCTAAAGCAGATATGTTTTGACTTCAGGATCTTTTTCTCACTAGAGAAAAATCACTCAGTACTTCACAGGAAGGTTTTCTTGTTGCTTATGTTGTCGTTGTTGGGGGGGGAGGGGAAAGATGAGGTTTAAACAAATAGATGATTGCTAACTTACAAAAGAAATTGGAAAGGGCCGAATAATTTTCCTTTGTACATTTGTTGGACAAGCAATGGACATCGATGATTAGTACTTTGGGATTTAATGATGAAAAACAAATTCAGTGAAGCACTGTACAAAAAGAGTATTTCAGCCAATGGAAATGAAGAATGGTAGATGGGGTTGGGGAAGACTGTTGAGGTGCTGAGAATTTCAGTCCAACAGGATCCGATGACTGGGCTTTCTGGATTCAGGCCAATGGGACATTCCATCGTTTGTACCATGCACGGGTGGAAATGGCTGGATTGGCCTAGGACATGGGGGGTGGCAGGAGACATAAGTGTGCAGATCAGGCAGGGAATACTGACACTCAGGGTGAGGACGTGTGCAGAGTATAGAGTTGATAGCTCATTGCCTGGTCCAGAGCAATGACTTAATGGAGAAACAGTAACAAGATTGATTTCTGTGCTTTGGGGGCACCGGGCCCATTTATAATTTCATAAATGGGCTATCATAATTCCATCAGTAGACTTTCAGGCATTTCTACAAACATACTGTGTATATATGTTTGAGTAATATGTGTAGAATGAGGTATTTGCATTTTGATAGTAAATATGCACAAGCTACTCTTTTTTATTAGTTGATATTCACATTTACACATCAATTTGCAAATTCCTCATCCTATGCTTATTACCCATTCGACACATACGCCCACATACACACACCACACACTTACATACATTTTCTAGTAACCAGACAAGCCTGCACATTAATACAAATCTGCAGGGGATCCCACTTGGGGCACATCTTTGAAATCTCTAGCTTTAAGAATAATGAACATGGTCCTTTTCGGTGGAATACTCACCGAATCCAGGGGAATTCTAGCTGTGTGAGACACACGGTACAGACATGAAGTAATTCCTACCAATATCTGTATGTACTTTTATTTAAAACCTGTGAAGGATCTTTATGTTTGGAGAAATCCAAGATGCTGAAGCTAGGACCACCTGAAGATTTGTTTTAATATGCAGTACTCTTAGATTGACTACGATATATATTGATAGATACACATAAAGTGTATATGTGCATGCAGCCATTCTATAAGTGTGTGCACATGTACACAGATATGTGTATGCCTGATGTATATATACAAACAGTATGTTTAATAAAACCTTTTGCAATTTTACTTTAACATGCAACCATTAACATAAGCAGGTTAAGGATCCTTTAATCTAGGATGCTTGATCTTCCAATTAACCCATGGAGCAGATTTTCATTTACTATCAATTAGCTGCAATTCCATTATCTGTAGATCAAGCCACTTTGTTGAGACATGATACTATTTTCCTCTTCATTTGCATAGCTGACTAGCTAAATGGCAAAAATGGCACTAGACACAACTTCTCTAAGATGTTGTCTTTAAAGAAAATATTGTGCAAAATCCTCTAGCACGTCCTCCCTCCCGCCTCCCCCAGCAGAGGTCAAGGAAAAATTTGTGCTTCAACATGATTTTTTTTTTTTGTCACTTCTGCTGTCTTGAAATGCACTGCAATATTCCTATCTCCCAATCATACTAGCTGGAGCACTGAGGTAGGGCAACTAGAACTATGATATACTTAGTAAACATTTCATACAACAGAATTGAAGCTCATAACATATAAAAAAAATCGTCATGCAAAATGTTATGCAACAATGTTATTTTGTGCTGACATTGAGGTTTGAAAATGTTGCATATGTCAGACAGAGCTAGAGACGAAAAAAAATGTGGACATTTGGAAATCAATGCTCTCTTTCGACTGTCAAAACCCACAGTGTCAAACTCGAGAGCCCGAGCCTCAGCTCGGTGTTCCAAACCGAAGCAAAATTTCAAGAAGAAAAATGAACGGAAAAGCAAACTAAGCTAGAAAGCTGCTGAGTAAAACGAGGGTAGAAGTTTACAGTACTTGGTTTTGGCCTAGGCAGGCCTTTGAGCCTCTGATATAACATGCTGGTCTGCGTTTGGGTGGGTGGAGGAGACCCAGGAGGTGGCTGGGGAGCTGCTCGGGTAGATGAGGAGAGACGGTTAAAAAAAAAAAAAAGGTAGAGAGACAAAGTGACTTTTTTACAAAAGTGACAAGGAAGATGACAAACTCAGAAAAGAACAACCAACCAAGCAAAAAATACGAATGGAGGGCTGCTGCTTTCCAGGAGTCACTGCAACATTACAGAGGCATGACATTGTGTGACGAGGGACAGGACTCTTACCAGCGTCACCAGCACCACCCTACCGAGACACTCAGAGGCTGAACGCAAACACTGGATGCCCTGATCCAGATGGAGACACATGAATGGGGGTGGCAGCGTCATTGACAGAAAGAAGATACACTTTTGTTCAATGAAGAACGCCTCTATGTGAATAGCTGCTTCCTTTTTCCAATGATCGGACTTACAGATTCACAGCTGGAAGATCTAGCTTCTCCCCTTCAACATGCGACTTACCCTTCCTAGGCAACCTTACACCTTCTCCTTCAACCTCTCTGTGCTCGAGTCTCCTCAGTTACAGAGTGAGAATACTAGTATCTCTCTTATGCACCTCGCAGGGATGATGATAAGAGCAACGGAAACAATGCATGGGAAGATCTCTGCAAAGCCTAAGGTGCCTACGAATGTTTATTATTATCTCCGACATTGTGAGGAAGCAGGACTAAACTGGTTTACAAAAGCAGACGAAGGGCCATTATTAGTTCAAGGGAGCTAGGGAATATTCTTGCTCCCTTTGTGGAATTTCAACATGTCAAAATCTGTCATTTTTGGGGAGGGGGGGATGTGTGGTAGCTGATTGTTTCCAGCTCATTTAATTATTTTCAGTTTGGAATTCTCGTGGCTTTTATATTGTGGGTTGAATCATATATAAAAACTTGCCAGCTTATCAAATATGTTACTTGCTATTCCAAATGTTAGAATACTGTAATCAGCACTTGACCCATCTGTCATGTGGTTTACGATATCAGCAGAGCAAACATCCTGTGACAATAGCCTCTCCTTCAATACACGCACAGAGCACTATCAGCTTCTACAATTCTCTCTCTTTAATGAGTGTCTCATTAACCTTAGACCTGCTCCTTTTTAATAGTTCCTCATTTATAAAGCAATCTGTACGGTGAGGGGGGCACATTCCATTGCCAAGTTTGCTTCTTGGTTTGCTTGCATTTTCAACTGGGAAAATGCATTTTACTGCAGGCTTATAGGAAATGTAATCCTAGCAATATTAATAAAAATTAAAAGAAATAAGGATAAATAGACTATTCTGCTGAAACCGTCTACTAAAAGCAGGGATCGATGAGGTCTTTAAATTGTGAGGCCACCTCAATGTTCTGAATGCAGGACTAAAAAAAAAAATATTTACTAGTCTCTCCTCTTCTATAAATCTTTTGTTTGCAAAAGATTGTGCATAAATAGAATTTGGAAAAAATCAGTTTTGAATGAAAGCTATTTAAAGGAAGGCAACTATGGATCCTTTCTTTATATATATATAAAACACTCTGTATTTTAATATTTTGTTAAAATCTGGTTTTTCACCTCCAGCTGTGCTGAAAGTTAGGTACATCTCTGGTAACACACCCTCATGGCCTTTTCAATGGATGTGTGTTACCTGAGTGTGTAATTCTCATGGCAACTTTTTACTCTCCTCACCCTGATAGCTGAACCTACATAGAGAAATACCTGACCTGGTGGTTTATGAAACAATGAAATGTCCCTGGGCTGATCTATAACCCGCAAGGCAGCAGAGACACATTTCA